CACTTTTTTCAATCTTTCTCCTAGTTAACTACTTTCAAGTTTAGAAAAAATATAACTCTAGCGTTTGTTATTACTATACTTAATTCATATTGTGAATTATTAAAGTAAACTTTCTAACAAACAGTATTGTAAGTGAAAAAAGTCAATAAATGAAAAAAGACTGTGACTGGGACTTGAACCCAGGACCTTTGGCTAACAAGGTGCTTGTTTAAGATAAACCAGTTCTCGAATTGAGGGGAAACGCTGTTCCCCTTTTTAAAAGAATGAAACCTCTTACTGCCTGATTGTGAACGCATGTATCTGTGGGTAGGTTTCAGGAGTTCATCTTGTTAACGTTTTATTACTCGAGCACTGGGACAAACCTAGTGTCCATTATACGTATCAACACGTGAGTCCATGTATATCACTTGTAAATAAAGCATTATTGAAAATAAGAATGAAGACAACTTTAAACACCTGCAGAGGTTGTCATAACAACGAGGGAAGATAAAGTTATCACGTTTTGTTGTTTTCCAGTGAGTGTGATGGTGCAGGTGAATTATCACTCGTTTCCTTCTTGGAATTCTTAGGTTGTTCTGGTGTCAGATTATGTGTTTGTTGTTCACAACTGAGAGATTATCCTGGTAACAGTGACAAATAATTATACATTTTACCAATAAGTAAAGCTGGAAATTTGATTTATTGTGGATATATATAACGTAAGTTGTAGAAGAACTGTCATTCAAATAGTGTTATTTTGTACTTTGGCTATAAGCGAACAATAATGGGTTACTTTGCTAGTGTTAGCTGTTTCCCAGAGTTTTAAGAACCTGCGCCGCGAAAAAATCAACCCTGAAATGGCCTCGCCATTTTTATTTTGTAACTGATTTCACAACTGACTATTTTTACGCTTTGTATTGTAGTTAATATACATCGAAGGTACAGTGCATGAGGGTGATGGATCACAGAGACGAAAAACATGACATGTTCCTTTCTTTCGTTGTTTGTGTTCATCATATTGTTTCGTCTCTGGTCGTTGGTTAATTTTCCATAGAAATTCTTTCCGAAAAACTTCAGCAATACAAGTCCTTTCTTAAATAAAACTAGTTTATTCTTTCTTAATACCACTTTGCAATACACTTAATTTCCACAGTCACTTTAACTTAAACACACGCTATAATTCACAATGAACGATTCACGCACTTTACTACCGCGCTTGACTCAATTGCCCGTCTCTATCTCTTCAATCTGCAATTATTCATATACATGCCGTCACTTCTCGCCTGTCTTATATATACGAAATAGGGGGCGTCTGGAGAACACTCGAGGCTTCACGAACGGACATGATCTTTTTATAGAATCTCATGACGTGTTACCAGCGTCACGTGACTTCCGCTATCGTAACAATATGCTCTACTAGTTACTACTGCTTCCATGATTCCTGGTATCCAATTGAAAATCTGAAAGTTGTGTTGAAATCAGCTCAACTAATGTAACTAAAATGTTTACTAATAATTACTATGTTGTGTTGAAATCAGCTCAACTAATGTAACTAAAATGTTTACTAATATTTACTATGTTGTGTTGAAATCAGCTCAACTAATGTAACTAAACTGTTTACTAATATTTACTATGTTGTGTTGAAATCAGCTCAACTAATGTAGCTAAACTGTTTACTAATATTTACTATGTTGTGTTGAAATCAGCTCAACTAATGTAACTAAACTGTTTACTAATATTTACTATGTTGTGTTGAAATCAGCTCAACTAATGTAACTAAACTGGTTACTAATATTTACTATGTTGTGTTGAAATCAGCTCAACTAATGTAGCTAAACTGTTTACTAATAATTACTATGTTGTGTTGAAATCAGCTCAACTAATGTAACTAAAATGTTTACTAATAATTACTATGTTGTGTTGAAGTCACCTCAACTAATGTAGCTAAACTGTTTACTAATATTTACTATGTTGTGTTGAAATCAGCTCAGCTAATGTAACTAAAATGTTTACTAATAATTACTATTGCACTTTATGCGCTTTTTCGATTATATGTTTCATAATTTGTTGTCGAACCATAGATTATTATGAATTTTCTTATGTTTCGTCGCTAATAATTCCACAACCCAATACAGAACGCTAATACGATCAACGAGCAGTCTCTACAACAATTCTATAAGTTCATTAAAATTACATCAAGACATAAGAGTCCACTGAAAGACGACGTCTACATGTCGCTCTGTGGATTCTACAGCCCAGATGCTTCCCTTATAACGATACATTATATTTGAAACTTCTGTATTAGTCTGACCCGTGAACTAACGAACCAGAAGACAAAGCGATGAGTTAAAACAGAAAATATTACTTAAACCCTAAAATTACTAGCTAGTTTTCATATCGGTGGCGTCATGTTGAGTAATTTTATGTTTTTTACCTGTTGTGATAATTAATGCAAAAACTGCCATAAAAATTGGGCACTCGACTCGAAATTTGCGGATCGTAGGTTCGAATCCTGTCGCCGAACACGATACTCTTTCAGCCATGGAAGTGTTATAATGTGACGGTCAATGTCACTTTTCGTAGCCCAAGAGTTGGCTGTGGGTGGTGTTAACTAGCTGTTTTCCGTCTAGTCCATTACTTCTAAATTAGGGAGGGCCCGGCATGGCAAGGTGGTTAGGGCACTCGACTCGCAATCTGCGGGTTCGAATCCCCGTTCCACCAAACATGCTCGCCCTTTCAGCCGTGGGGGCGTTATAATGTGGCGGTCAATCCCACTATTCGTTGGTAAAAGAGTAGCCCAAGAATTGGCGGTGGGTGGTGATGACTAGCTGCCTTCTCTCTAGTCTTACACTGCTAAATTAGGGACGGCTAGTGCAGATATCCCTCGTGTAGCTTTGCGCGAAATTCAAAAAACAAACAAACAATCTAAATTAGGGATGGCTAACGTAGATAGCCCTCGAGTAGCTTTTGTGCAAAAGAAAACCAAACAAAAATACTGGATAAAATAACTCATTTTTTTAAATGTAAAACACATAGGGCAACCCAAACATTAAATTGTGGAATTAACTGAAATATTGATGTTATGTTTGTGTGTGACTCTTATATTATTAGGGACCCTGTATTAACCAACAAACTCATAGACTCACAAATAACTTGGTGCATAAATAGTTTAAAAAATGTGTTTAAAAAGCTGATGGAGGGTCCACACCTAATCAGTAATTCTAGGGTTAAAGTCGAGTGTTTGATTAAATAGACGTTATTCAATTCTTTAAACTTGCAAATATGCTTTTAAAACTGAAAGCAAACAGAACTGTTTACATCATAAAGTACTTCAGAGAAAGGATAAAAGCTCCTTTCTCACGATTCCGAAGGTTTCTTCTTTTTTACTTTCAGGCACTTTAGAGATACACACGACTTACGCATTTTTTTAAAATTCTCACAATCTTATATATTAAAAAAAAAAAACCAAAGAAAAGAGGTTGATGATAGTTTGTACTGAATTAATCATTTACGTGTGTTGTATGATCTGGAAAATTATATTTGTTGACAGCAGTAGGTCCGGAGTTGGTAGTCGATGTTTGTTCTCAGTAAGCACATTTATATCTGTGTACAGAGGGCGTTGGTAATGGCTCGTTACGTCAGCACACAGAGTCTTCAGACATTCAGTCAGTCTCACTCTGTTTGGCGTGTCTACCTCCAACAGTGAAGTGGCAATGTCCTACAGCGCCACTATTAATTCTTGTCATCACAGATCAACGGACTTTCTTGTAAGATCTGCGAGTACAATAAAATAGGTAGTGAAAAACAGTTTAGGCGTAGCTGCAGATTTCTTCAACATAAAAAAACACTATTTTGGGTAATAGAAAAAAAAACAGCTTAAAAATCACCGCAAAAGAATGTTACTATTCGTTTTACAAGACTTATTGACCGACAGAGGGTGTTGTCGTTTATCTTCTTTTCTATCAGTTAAGCCTTTTTTTTTCTTCTCTTTCTATCGCTTGGCACTAAAACCGTTCTTTATCAGGAATACATTATAACATTTCTCACATTATCGTTATTACTATTTTTTGTGTGTGCTCGCTTTCAATTTTAAGATAAGAAAAAACAGAAAATTCGAAAATTGGAGAGCAACAGGGGTTTCTCACCAGGGGTGCTTTTTTATTAAAATAGTTATTGGAATTTCAAAGTTTCTACAAGAGGTAGCGCTCATTTTGTTTGTGTTTTCTAGAAAAACCAGTCTTTTTTTTGTAAGTAAAGAGAATGTTGATGACAGCATGTAATTTTTTTATTTTTTTTTTATAAGACAAATCGGTTGTCTATTAGTTTGTTCAGCAGTCAATAGAACCTCACGAGCACATATAAATAAAACGCTTTCGGCTTTGGAACCTGAAATCTTTTACATTTCTAGCGATTTTGGATGGATTTATTAGTTTACATGTTTCACGACCGCAGCAATATGTTTGCGGCCTTAAAATCCGGGGTTCGATTCCACTCGGTGAACACAGTGCAAATATCCTTTTCATTGCTTTTGAACTTAATAAAACAAAGAAACAAACAAACAACGTTTTAGGAATCGAGAAGTTGCTCGATCTAACCATATAATGAAGCTGGAATGCCACCAACACTGATAAAAGTTAAAGGTGGCTTAAAATAAAATTATAATTTTATTTTGTCCGATCTCTTACACAGTAGAACTCTAATTAAGAATCCTATTGGTCAAGCTTTTTTTTTTTTGGCGCTTTGTTTGTTGTAATTTTATTAATTAGAGATTTAAAAATATTTAGAATATTTGTGCTGTACATTTCAAGTTGCTGAGGACCTTAGAGGTTTGTGATTTTACGCAGACAAATATACATAGACCGTAATTTAACAACAAAATATGACGTGAAGTTGTGAGTTTATTTAATATGTAAACATAGCGCCCCCTATGCTTAAGTTCAAGAGCGTCTCTACTTATGTTTCTTGTTAATGATGAAGGAGTTTCGAAGTGAGTGCAAAGCTACGTAATGGGCTACCTGCGTTCCGTCCACCACGAGGAATCGAATACCGGATTATTCTTAAAGTTGTAAGTCTGTAAACTTACCATTAGAACTTACCCAACAGAAGATAATTTCGATGGAAAAATTAAGTTTATATCGAGAGAGGAATATGACGATCAAATGTGGTAGGTTTCTATTTAGCTACAATCCTGTACTTTTCCACAATATTCTCCACACCCAAAATGGTGGTCTTCTCGAATATTAAGTTTTCAGATATCGTTTTAACAACATTTTTTTACCGCACTTTTCGGAGGAACAACCGATAATCTAGGTCGAGCGAAATCCTTTTAATATCCTCGACCTTTAGAAGTTTATCACGGATGGTCAGTATGTTAACTTTGAACCCACTAATGGGCAGGTTAGCGTTTAGCCACGCCCACCATAAAATCCTAACAGCCAGAAAGGAAGTGAGGACGACAAACAGAACAAAGTGAGCTTATACGTTTTTAAAATAGATGTTTGTTCAGTAGGCACAGGTCGACGTCATTTATCATCATACGAAAAAAAAAAAAAAAAAAAAAAGACCGTAATGGATGGCGCACGAGCTTAAAAGGTTTAAGAAGAAAATTAAACATTTACTGAGTTAGTTTACTATGTCGAGACCGACGAAAGCCAATAATGTATTCCTTACAACTTGAAAGTTTTATCGTTGATACAAGCGGGAGATTATACTTCATCAAAGTCATTTGAAAAGCAAACTCGCTCTTCTTCTCATTCTTGGTTTGATGTGACTTAGATAAAGCCCGATACTTTGAATGCTGTTTCTTTACGACCTGATAGTTGAAAGGCTTGTTTGTCACGGTTGGGTATTTTTTGATATTCCCCGCCGTGTTCTGATAATTTTATATTTCATTGGCACGAGAAGTTATAACTGCCTGGCCTGACGTTTTTTTTAAATCTTTTTTTTGATATGAGTTGTTAAGTTTTACTTTTATAACCTAATGTACCAAATTTTACTTTCCTAACCTGACCTGGCGATTTTTACTTTTTTTTACCGTCCTGATACATTTTACTTTTCTTAACTGACCTGGTAATTTTTTACTTTTTTTATTTTTACCTGTCCTGATACATCTTACTTTTATGACGTTATCTGGCATGTTAATACGTTTTTGACCTGACACCTAGTACGTTTTACTTCTCTGACCCATACTGGTGCTGTTATATTTGTCTATAATGACCCGACCTAGTACTTTTTGCTTTTCTGAACTGACCTGGTATTTTTATATTCGTCTATCCTGATCTGTATTGACCTGACTCTTTTTTATTTCTTTGATCTGTATGGACAGTTTTGACCTGCTACTTTTACTTTTTTGCTCTAACCTTTTACTTTTATATTTTTTGCATACTGACTTGAAACTATTTATTTGCCTAATTTGACTTGAGGTACTTTTGTATCCTGATATAAAAGGATATATCATATATCTTTTTATATCCTAATTTGACCTTAGGTACTTTTCTACTCGTATATCCTGATTTGATATCCATACACTTACTTATCTTGACCTGCTTCATTTCTCTGAATTTAAGTGGTACTTCTACATTTCACTTACTTTAGCAGGTACTTTCAGTCCTCCCTGACCTTTAACGTGCCTTTATATTTAACAATGTTTCTTTGACTTCGTTTCGTGAGACGCAGTTTACCTTTTGTGGGGTATTGGGTTTGACTTGTACTTTTCCATTATTTTAGATAATTTGTTTTCTTGTAGTTTTATCTACATTAGCGTGTTTTTACTTCTTTGTGTTTTATGTTTAATTCTCAAGTACATCATATTTTATGTTTCCGTACGATCTTAATAATTTCTTTATAATTATGTTTGATATTTTTGGTTGATTCTGTTTTTCTCAACTAATCTACTTCTCTGAGATCAGAGAAATAGAATTTATTTAATATTCTGATACTTCCTGATTTCAAAAGTGATACGGTACCTACCTATAAAACAGTAATTCTAATACATATTTTATGATAACTCCTGCATCATAAACATTTAAAAAAGGTAACAATGTAAGCCTATTTATTTTAATCGATTTCTGTATCTTTTTTATTTCTTGTATTGACCCATTACCTTTTTATACGATTACTTCTATTAAATATGTAACTTATACTAAAAATAAAACCTTCAGTCAAACCTTTAAAAAAACAAAAAAAACTTGCACATTAATGTTTCCATCTATCTATCTTAGAATATGACAGATGGCAGCACCATAGCATTAATGTAAGTTAAAAAATTAAAAGGTTATTAATGTAAGGCTTAAGGATCTTTTATTCAGTATTTCATTCTCATGTTATGACAAGAAGAAGCTATTCTAATGAGAGAGCTCCCAGATGGCCCAGTGGAAAGTCTGAGGGTTTACAATGCTTAAAGTCCAGTTTCGGTATCTACTAATGCTTGGAGACGGCTTGAATGGGTAATGAAGAAAAAATCGTCTCCAAGCATTATTAGTCTCAAAGTGGGTTTCTCGTCATCGAATTTTGATAGCTACGTTGGCAGGGAACAGATAGTTTATTGTGTAGCGAATGAATGTTTCACTTGTACTACCATTGAAAGAATTGAAATTGAATTCATTGCACATGTTTTTAACTAAACTGAAGTAATTCCTAAAAAGTTTTAATTTTATACAATATATTCTATGATCATTCTTCTGCATAGATTTTATAAAATAACTAAGAATATTCAACGTTCAAAAATGGACAATAATATATTGTGTAAGTTAAAAGTAAAATATACAATTAAAGATTCTATATGTTTCGGTGGAAAGAAGTTCCACCATCTTCAGGAGACCAGAAGAAACACTGTAAGTTTCATTTTTTTTTTTACACCAGTAAGTGCACGTGTATAATTTACATATTATACACGTGCCATCTACAGAATAAATTTCCGAAAATTTACTTCTGCGGCACCTGGGCCTAGATCTCTATTCAAAATCATTTTATATTTAATAACTTCAAGAGATTATCTTATGTTTAATTCATTTTTTAGTTTAACTTCTTCAAGTATTTTAACCTTATCCCATTCACCACATGTTCCACCAAGGCTGAATCACTAGTTTTTAATTTTTCGACGGCGTTTTTTGTGTTCAATAATTCGAAACTTCAAATTTCTGCTTGTTTGCCCGATATAAATTAAGCCACAACTGCAAGCTATTTTATAAACTCTAGATTTATCCTTTAATTCAGTTTCGTCTTTAAGGCCGTTAATGAAATTAATTAGTTATAATTTAGGAGTAAAGCTAATTGACAAGTCGTGTTTTTCATGACCACCTTGCCTATTTTTGTTGAGATTGAAGGAACATATGGCAAACGTATTCTTTCTCTATTAACATTACTTATTATCTGTAGTCTGGTGTATTCTAAAATTTGTAATATATTATAGTGTTTTTTTTTTTATAAATCCTATCTATAAAAGACGGTTCGAAACCTCTATCGATTACTATATATTTTGAATAATTCACTTCGAGCATAAGATCCCCATTACACGAAGAGACTTTAATGGCCCTATGGACAAATGATGAAAAAGATGACATTTTTTTTTGTGACAATAGGTGACACAATCTCGCGTGCGGTGGCATGGCAACTGAGAACGACTTTCTGTATATCGAAGTAGAAAGAAACCAATTCTCTCTCTCTTTTTTTTACCGAAACATCCAAAAAAAATTAAAACAACTTTTTCTTCATTTTCTAAATTGAATTGATAGAATTAAAGATTAGGAGAAATTAAACACGTACAGCCCTTAAAAACCAGCTAATTCGAATAAAAATTATTTCGGAAATTTCACTGATAAAAATACTTCAACAAAAGATAAGAACATTACCGCGTGCATTCAAACCGATATTGTAGCTTGACGTGTCATACGTATGTAAATTTCTACAGCTTTGCACTTCGAATGTGTTTTCCAAAAATATAGGGAAGTTTTAGTTTTTAAGGGTCATTTTAGGACGAAGTTCATTTTGAATTCGTAAGTATGTTTCAATTTTTGCTAGAACGATGACGATTGTGAACTATTACTAGGTAAACAAGTTAGCAGTGGTTAGTGTGAAGGGCTGCGATTCTGGAGGTCCAAGGTTCCAGCCGTAATATACCACTTTTATTTTGAGTGCGTTAAAGCGGTGACAGTCAGCTCCGCTCTTCGTGTAAGAGTGGATTAGAAGCTGGTGAGTTCTCCTGACTGGTCAGCAACTCTAAATTAAGGATTACGACTGTATCTGGATCTTTGTGTGGGTGAAAAAACAAACAAAAACGTTTAACCCACTTGCCACACAAGGGGGCGTTCAAGTTGAAAATACCAAACAACTAAGTAACACTGTTGTTCTAAAAATCCCAAGAAAGCTGCAATATTTGTTGTAGATTAATTGTAGTGGTTGCAATACGAAGTAATGTGTTAAAATAGACTTAAATATAAACTTGGTCATAACGCAATCTCGCTCCACATCACACAGACACGAAGTTACGAATCTTCACAACATCGTTTAGAAAAGTAAAGGGTAAACATACAGAAATAAAAGCGATCATACGTGACTGGACAGATGGGATTTTAAAGGAACGAAAATATAATACAGCATTTCTCCCATGATGGAGGTTACTGGGTAACTTGCCAAACATGGCGGCCTTTAAACAATCGCATGAGAACGTTTTGGTGTTTCCGTCATATTATACTTTCCAGTACAAGAATCATCTATTTTTGTTTTCCTTTTCAGCTTGAGCTAACACAAAAGGATGTACTTGACGTATCTGGTAAAGAAAGAATCCTATAGGTGGCGTTCAGAAAAGAAGAGACCATATTTGAAGAAAGTATTATGTTTGCATCAGTGATTTGCTGGAGGAAGTAAGTGAGCTCTCATGGTGGGAGAGAATGAGCAGGTTTGTATGTATGATGTAATATATAAGCTTAGTAGGAACTCAACTAGCATTTTTACGTGTTTATATAATAATAAGTTCAGGAATAGATAGAACTGGATCTCGTGGAAAGTTATGCTTCAGAAAGAACTGGATCTCGAGGAAAGTCATGCTTCAGAATAGATGAAAATCCTCGTTTTATCACACGCTGCCCTTAGTATGGGCATATATGAAATAACTTTTTATATAGTTATCTGTAGCATATTATATTATTGGTCTTTATTAATGAAGAAACTGAATATTGAGTTCCTTATTCAACTTAAAGATTTACTTAGAATTGTTTTATTTAATGTCTGGACACATTAGGTTAAAGGGTTTTTGTCTAATAATTACACGTTAAGTTTAAGCGTTTTATCAAATAATTATACATGTTAAGTTAAAGGATTTTATCTAATAACTACAAATGTTAGGCTAGAGTGTTTGGTCAGGAGGATTTCTTCCGATGACTGAACCGTTTATATCCGAATGCCTGATTGTGTTAGGCTTAAGATCGATAACGGAAGACCGAAGTTATGAAATTAGAAGCACCTAATCATTTGTTCAGAGATCGAGATTTAACACGGTACAAGACACTTTTGTTTAAGTCAATCATTCGTATGTGTTACATATGGTTTACGTTATGATTTAACTACGAAAATAACACACATGTTCAGAGTGGTGTTACCACTAATATGAACACACGCCTGGCTAGAAACAGAAATATGCTGTCGAAACACTCGTCATATGCGCTTTGATTCTCCTCGTGTTATAATTAGGAATAAAATCTCGTATTGTTAAAAGCTGTAGATGTAATGTTGTAGTAAATTTTAGTATATCTGATGATATTATTATAACTTACTTATCGTATTTTAGGCATTACATCTCTTTAAATTGAGCAGGGCACAATATCAGATTTTGTTAGCTTTTACGTTTCCTTTAGAACTAGCAAAAAGCGACTTTTTGTTTTTCTACCGTGTTTGTATTTAATCCATAAAACATGACAGCGACATCTGGAAAGGTTTTACATTTGTATCAAGAATAATTGAATAGTAGCTTTTAAATATTGTTGTTTTTCTTCAGCCTACTAGTTTTCGTATTGTTTGAAATTTCACGCAAACCTCTTCCATTGGCTATCTGCACTAGCCGTTCCTAGTTTAGCAGTGGTAAACTAGAGGGAAGGCAACTAGTCAACATCACCCTCAGTCAACCCTTGGGATACTCTTTTATCAACTAATAGTGGGGTTGACCATCATATTATAACGCTTCCATATTCGGTGGAGGGGATTCGAATCCTAGACTCCTCTGTTGCAAGTTGAGGCCACCAGGCCATGCTTTCGTAATATTGTTGTTAAGCTTAGAATTTTTGAATCTCCGAACCTGAAATTTCGTTTATTTCAGAATTTTCGCGCGAAGCTATCTACGCTAGCCAGCCCTAATTTCGAACCAATAGCCTAAAGGGAAGGCTGCTATTCAACAACACCCGCAACCAACTCTTGGGCTACCATTTTGCTTCATGGAATAGTGGGATTTGACCGTCACTCTTATAGCACACCCACAGTGACAAATACAGAGAGAAAGATGTACCCTTGGATTCACAGTTCGGACAATCTAACCTCTAAACCACGTCCGGCCTTGAATATTGTATAAAAAGCCTGAGTTTTGAAAGCATTATTCATTTGTGAACACTCTTTCGATCGTTCTTGTCGAATGATAAATTTTTTGTTAATTTCAAAACCAAAAATTTTCTAACACTTTTTCGCAACTATGACCAAAAAATGGGGTTTTAGGCGAATATCTAAAATTTAGGACATATAATCATATATCCACAAAAACGGACAAAAATCTTTATGGTAGGTAAGACTAAAACAACTTGTAATTTCTTTTATTTTATTTAGTTTCAGGTGTTTTCGTTGGTTTTGTTTCAGATATTCACGCAAAGCCATAAAAGGACTATATACAGTAGCAGTTACAAATTTTGAACCGATAGACTGGAGCGGTGGTGCACAAACTGTGGGGGCGCGCTCCCCGAAGGGGCACAAGTATGACAACAGGAGCATACAGATCATATCTGAAAGTGCAAGTTTAAAATAAAGACGGTTTAAAACTACCGTACAAAAATTATTGCTATTAAGTATTATAGTAACAACAATTAACATGGGAACATGACATGCGCAGTATATACATAAATAGGTTATATGGGGTGCGCACAGCAAAACGCATGTTTATTATCGGGGAGGGGGCGCCATAAAAAAGGTTTGTTATGACTGGACTAGAGGGAAGGCAGCTACTCAACAACATTGTAAGCTTAGAAAGGTAAAAACTGTAGTAGTGACGTAACGTATAGTCTCTTACCAGAGATGTAATTGTTGTATATTAGGCCTAGTAGCGATCACCACATACCATTTCAGAGCTGTAATCCATGTTTAGTGATCATTAGGCCTAGCAATGATCACCACATATCATTTCAGAGCTGTAATTCATGTTTAGTGATCATTAGGCCTAGCAGTGATCACCACATACCATTTCAGAGCTGTAATGTATACTCTACATTGATATAAACTAAAAATAATAAAATAAACAAACAACTACTTTGTATACCACACACCAGTTTCCCCCCAATGGCTCAGCGGTAAGTACGAAGGCTTATAACGCCCAAAACCGGTTTTCTATACCGGTGGTAGGCACAGCACAGATAACCCATGGTGTAACTTTGCACTGAAGAACAAAGCAACACACGTCAATAAGTTAGTCATTTTACCTGAGGTTAATATATCACGTCATTCTACTGTAGTAGCTTATCCAATAATACCCACCGCCAACTCTTGGGCTTATCTAATCGAACAGTGGATTTGACTGTCATTCTTATAACGGACCCGCGGCATCCTAAAAAGCGGAGTATCATTTTGCGGCAAAGGGAAGCGAGCCATGGATCCTCGGATTCACAGTTAGGCATTTTAAACACTGGACCACTACAAGTCCGTTTCGGACTTACGAGATATCTATGTATTATTTTATATTTTCACTGTTTTTTTTAAGTCAGTCTATTTGCTTTCATCTTTTGAACTAACGTGACAAGAACAAAACAAGAAACAAAAATAACTGGGTTACGCAAAAAAAAGCACATTTAATATAAATTTTTACACGAATAAACCCGATAAATAAAAAGGGACTTGAACCCAAGACATTAGACTAACAGCCCAGTGCTTCCTCAGTGCGGAATCCAATAATACAAGCCACAATCTATTTTTGCTTATTAGTTTTTCGTATAAAAGTTTGCTAAAAAATTGCCCTTTCATTATTCCTTAGCGGAATCTGAAAAAAGGTTTAATCATGCAGTGTGAGTTAGAATTTATAAAAGATATGACTCATTAAAAATGGTAAATATTAAAACCTATTGATATTGTAAATATATTATATTTTCGTTATAAGTCCAAGTGATATTAATTAATTTTTGGAGTGCATTAAGGGGGAGAAGAGAAGCGTGCTTGTAATAGACAACCTGGTATGTATTATATAAAATAGTTAATGGGAAACGAACTTTACTTACAGAGAATTTATTTAATGTGTTTCTGTAGAAAGCGTCACCTGCGTAACAATGTTAGCACTTTGAAATAAGAGCAAAAATAACAAAACGAATAAAGTGAATCGGGACTTTAGAGAATTTTACAGAAACGACAGTAGAAATGATAGCAACTGGAAACTTTTGCTTTTTATGAGAAATGAAGGAAGTTCTTTTTCATAAGTAACTTCATTTTTTGTTATTTTCGTCTTGGTAAATTATTCTCGTCAACAGTACAACGTGACGTTATGAATTTCGGACACCTTAACATTTGGTCGGTATTCACGCGCCCGCAGTCCTAAATCGAGAACGAGGCTTTTGTGCAAACAAAAAACAATGGCGTCGTTTCACAGTTGTTTGTATTCCGATGTGCATTAATAATGCACGATACAACAAATCTCTCGTTCAGCAGCTTTTCTACAGATGCTAACAGAAGGAAACAGCAGCTTTCCAAAATCCGACGTGATGAAAGACCTCTGTTTTTGGTAAGTAATACAAAACTAAACTACAAATTTACGTAGGCCTAACCTGATAATATTACTAGCAATAGGGCCTGGGCCTATAATAAGACTCTTTAAAAATTTAAACATATGTAGGAAATTATAGTGCTAAATAGGCCTTGGTATTCAATAGTCCTAGCTAATCTATATAATATCTGCATTTAAAGATCTACTATTATTGTAAATAAAGCTCAATTTGGCCCATTAGCACAGTAGTCTAGGCCTATTAGGCTGAAATATAATTGTATTTGAGATACAAAATAATCTGATAAATTTCAGTTCTTGCTAACATAGGATTGTTTCATTGTAGCCCATGTTCAAATGACAGGCTTTCATTCTCAGTATAGAAGACATTTAGTTTGTTCTGAATTTTGCTCAAAGCTACACAAGGGCTATCTGCGCTAGCCATCTCTAATTTAGCAGAGAGAAAATAACTGGTCATCACTACCCACCGCCAACTCTTAGGATACTCTTTTACTAACGAATAATGGGATTGGCCGTTACATTATAACGACCCCACGACTGAAAGGGTGAGTATGTTTTAGTGGTACGGGATTTTTTTTTTTGAGAATAAAACAAGAATAAAAATAAACCCCAACCACAAAAAATCGAAAACCTGGAATCAGTAAAAAAGGGAAAGTATCTGAAATATCTTGTAATGATTCAGCAAATTTCTTATAAAACATGAAAACTAGCAAAAAATTTTAACCCGCGTACTAACTACAAAATTAATTTCAAATGAATAAAATCTATATTTTTATAAATATTTTTAGGCTTAGAATTTACAAGTAGTTGCACAATTCGGTAGCTGTAAGTACCTAAAATTAAAGAGGGTTCCAAGCTCTAGAGTCTAATATCTTAAAAAGGTTGATATAATTTATTAACTGTGTATCTCAAAAATTTTCTTGTATCCATTAAGTATATTTTTGATATTTTCCAATTTAACATTAGTCCAGATTTAAAATACGTGCATACACACACACACTCATTTACTACGTCAGCTGACAATCGGGCAGACCTTTAATTAAAATTTGCCTACTGACGTGTAAACTCGTATTCTGAGTTTTTTACACCGACCGTGAACCTAGTTTTTATATTTTACATCATTAGACAGCGTACTACCGATAACTCACCTAATTAACTGGGAAGTAATGTAGTTTTGTAAGTTAAGTACATCAAAAACCAGTTCTGCCTGTGCTTAAATCATCAACACAATTTAATGACTGTAGGCTTACTTCAACAACAAACTGTCCTGTGGCTAGACAAACTTCATCAACAAGCAGTCACGTGACAGGTAGTCAAGCAGCCTGTGGATAGACTAACTTTATCAACAAGCAGTCCTGTAGCTAGGCTCTCTTCATCAACAAGCAGTCACGTGACAGGTAGTAAACAAGCAGTCCTGTGGATAGACTAACTTCATCAACAAGCAGTTCTGTAGCTATGCTCTCGTCATCAACAAGCAGTCACGTGACAGGTTGTAAACAAGCAGTCCCGTGTCTGGATTTATTTACATCGATCTGTTATGTATCATCACAAAATCAGGCATCTTAGCTGTTTCTGTTGTACACAGAGTAAGTCACCTGGTAACCAGCTGTTCGTAGATTTGTTACAAAAATAGATTTTCACTGATTATAAATCCACCCAAGAAGAATTATGATGAATTAAGAAAACATAAATTCCATTAATATTTAAAATATATTTTTTTTTTTCTCAAGAAAAATTGAAGTTTATGTAGTATAAACATTTTTTGGAACTCTTTCTTTCTAATTTACTCTTGGAATAAAATAAAAGAGTTATCTTATATTTGTATATCGTTATTAGAATTCTCGCGCATAGCTACACAAGTGCTTTCTGCGCATAGCCATCCTTAGTATATTTACTAATAGACTTGAGAGATGACAGGTATAATCAACATCAGCCACTGCTAATATACTTGAAAGGTGACAGTTATAGTCAACATCAGCAACCGCTGTTAGACTTGAGAGATGACAGGTATAGTCAACATTAGCCACTGCTAATAGACTTGCGAGATGACAGGTATAGTCAACATCAGCAACCGCTGTTTGTCACCTTTCAAGTATATTAGCAGTGGCTGATGTTGATTATACCTGTCATCTCTCAAGTCTAACAGCGGTTGCTGATGTTGACTGTAACTGTCATCTTTCAAGTCTATTACCAGTGGCTGATGTTGACTATACCTGTCATCTCTCAAGTCTGTTAGTGGTGGCTGATGTTGACTATACCTGTCATCTCTCAAGTCTATTAGAGGTGGCTGATGTTGACTATACCTGTCATCTCTCAAGTCTGTTATAGTCAACATCAGCAACCGCTGTTAGACTTGAGAGATGACAGGTATAATCAACATCAGCCACTGCTAATAGACTTGAAAGATGACAGGTATAGTCAACATCAGCCACCGCTAATAGACTTGAGAGATGACAGGTATAGTCAACATCAGCCACCTCTAATAGACTTGCGAGATGACAGGTATAGTCAACATCAGCAGCCACCTCTAATAGACTTGCGAGATGACAGGTATAGTCAACATCAGCAGCACGCTAATAGACTTGAGAGA